CCATCAGCGTGGCTCCATGTGGCTTGTCAACAGGGAAGTCAAGCAGGAAGAATATGTGCTCCGCCTCCAGGGAGGAAGACAGGTGTCTTCCTCCAGAATCCTCAGGAGAAGGCCACGCCCACACCAAGGCATCATTGGCTATGACCTGATTGGCAGTGTAGACTCCACCCCTTCACTCAAGTTGACAGGAGATGATGTTACTGCCACAGTGGTACAGCCTGACTTGAGAGAAGATTTGGGCTTTAAAAGAACCATGTGGAAGGATGTGCCACCAAGTCTCTTCAACAGAACGGTCCTATGAGCTCCTGGGAGGTGGGGTCCAGCCCAGGTTCTTACCGAGACTGGTACCTAAATAGGTATTAGGTAATAATGAAAATACTAGATAATGATTAGCATCTATTTAATAAGCCAAAAAAGTCACTGCCATCGAGTCAACTCTGACTCCTGGTGACGTTATAGGACCGGGTAGACCAGGACTGTCCTTCTTACAGGGTAGAACGACCCGTCTTCCGCCCAGGAGTAGCTGGAAGTTGAGAACGTTCAAACTTGCAGTGATCAGCCCAACCCGGAGCTGCTAGGCCTCCAGGGCTCCACGGATAACTCAGAACTAGTCAGACAGTGACGGGAACATCGCACCACTCCTGACCGACAGTTCATGGTCCTTGCTTGTAAAGAAGCTAGTCCGGTGAAGTGAGTGTCTAGTGAAGGTAAGTCGAGTCCAGCTATTCCAGAGAAGGAAAGCGAAACAGGCCAGGGGCCACGTGTGCAGATGCACCTTCTGTGTGTTTACATACTGTATGGGAGGGACCCCCACCCCCACAGCTCTGGGAGGGGGCACCCATGGTCCCATTCCACAGAGGAGGAAGGTAGAGGGAGGTCTGGGGACACTGACCTCAGACCACTCAACCAACTACTGAGGAGCTGCAGGTCTGCACCACACACACACACACACACCATGCACATGTGCACACACACATAAACACACAGGCACACACATAAACACAGAGACACATACATACACAATGTGTACACACACACACACACACACACACACACACCAGCACAGGAATCCTGGCAGAGGAAAACCCAGAATGAAGCTCTGGTTTCTGGACACTAGGGGGCTCTGGAGGTCCAAAAAAGGCGACCAGGCCCTCCTGAGCCCAAAGACCTTGGGCAGAAAGACCACAAAGAGCTCACTGGAAATTGCCATCTTTGCCTTGTGCTTGTTTTTCTAAACTTGTTCTGCTGTGGGATCAGGATCCTAAAGATGCTGAGAACCCATCACCGCAAACCAAGCCAAGCCAGTGCCTGGCCCCAACGGATCTCTCACCCATGCCCTTGCTGTGCGCCCTGGTGCTCCCAAGCCGGGAGGAGCAAGGACTGGGAGGGGCTGGGTCATCATCTCTCCCTGGGAGCACTGACCCCAATCGGAGGGCTCCTACTCTCCCAGAGCCACGGCCACCTGCCATCATGGGGATCCCCAGCATCTCGGTCTCACCATCCCGATGACAGCGCAGCCCGGGCATCTCAAGGTGTCGGGTTCTTGTGCACAGTCAGACCTGTGACGGGCAGGCCTCCTATAATCCACCCAAACCAAACCCAAACCCACTGCCATCAAGTTGATTCCAACTCACAGCGACCCTATCACAGCGTAGGACTGCTCTGTGTGGTTTCAAAGACTAATCTGACGGGAACAGTCAGCCTCTTCTTTCTCTGAGGAGCACCTGGGGGGCCCGAGCTGCTGACTCTGGGATGAACAGCTCCTTATGTGGCCCACGATGCCACCGGGGCTCTGAGCTCATTGGTCATCTTCCTGCTTCTCACTGACCTTCTGCTTGGCCAAGCATCCTGTCCTCCTCTAGGGACTGACCTCCCCTGAGAACCTGTCCGAAGTACAAAGCCTTCCCATCCTTTGTTCTAAGAAGAACTCTAACGATTATGATCACTCTTTTTTACAGAAAAGAAAGCTGAGGTTCAGAGACACCCTAAGGCATGTGGCTGAGACGAGGGAGAGGCAGAACTGAAATGGGAGCTGGTCAGCTCCAGCCAGGGCTCCTTCCACTGAACCCAGTAGCTCTTGGTTGTGAGCACAGCAGGTCCACAAGCTATCTGGAGACAAGGGGCGATTAGGGTGGTCTCCAGAACCAATACAACCATCCATCTCTCCATCTGTCTCTCCATCCACCCATCCATCCATCCATCCATCCATCCATCCATCCATCCATCCATCCATCCTTCCACCCATCTGTCCACCCATCCATCCATTCATCTGTCCATCACAACTAGGATCACATGGTGGTCAAACACACTGGGTCACAGGAACACATGGAGACCACTGGTGCTTGGGGCAGTCTCCAAAACCATTAAAACCAGCCATTCATCCATCCATTTATCCATCCATCCATCGTCACAACTAGGGTCACATGGTGGTCAGACACGATGGGTCACAGGAACATATACCTTCTGGAGACCACTGGTGGTTGGGGCAGTCTCCAGAACAATACAACCATCCATCCATCCATCCACCCCCACCCCACCCCCATCATCCATCAGCCTTGTTCTTTCCCTCACGGCACACACAGTGACAGCCAGGCTCACGGGGTGTCAGACACACTGTGCCATAGGAACACAGTAATTCTAGCCGTGCGCTCTCTGTCTACCTGCACTTTCCCCGTGTGCTACAGTGCCACTGCACTCACTCGGTGCGTGGCTGCTCTGAGTCTCCATGTGGACTCCCGTGGAATGGGCCGAGTGGGCACATGCCGGGGACTCTCTTGAGGAACTCTCTGGATGAGGCTGTCTGTTCCTGGGAGGTGTAGAGTCTGGGAATCCCACAGGGGCAGGTCTACGCTGCCCTGTAGTTGCTCAGAGTGGGAACGGACGACTCGGTGGCAGGCGTTTGGAGTGTGCTGAGGATCGTGGTTGGGGGCCATCGAGTGGGCTTGCCACTGATGCATCAGAGAATGGAACCTTGCCCGGTCCCTCACCATCTTCATGATCACTGGTGTCGTCTCTTGACACTTCCCTCAAGCCCTGCCTGTCTCCCCTGGGATCTGTCTGACACCTGCTGCGAGAACAACCTGCAGAGAGAACATTCTCAGCGCATCTGACAAAGCATGGTCCCATCCATGTGTGCCACGGCTGCGGTTTGGGGGGGTGGGGGGGTGGAGCACACATGACCCACTGTTGAATGCCCTTCCCTGTGGCTCCCAGACCACTCAGCCCATGCCCACTCCCTCTGAGGGTCATTCAGTAGCCTCTGCTCTGGAGCACCTGGCCCACCCCCAGGCTAACATCTCCCCCGCCCCCTCGAGTCCCTACACTGACCTAGAGAACCTGCCCCAACCCTCTCAAAAGCAACTTCCCCAGTGGAATGGGCCCAGAATCCCCCAAGTCTGTTCCTCGGGGTCCTCCTGCCTCCATCTCGCTCTGCCTGCTGCCCACAAGCTTGCTCCCACTGCCCAAGCTGGGGGTGGGGAAAAATGGCGCAGTGTTGGGTGACCCTGTGAGCAAGGTAAGCACAGGCTGCCCCATGCTTTCTCACTCATTCACAGTGAAACATTTCACAGGCTTTCAGAGGTTTCAGAATCTTCAGAAGCAGCGAAGATTCTACTTCTCCTTATGCCCGGCATCGCTCTCCCAAACCCACAGCCCTTTCTTTTTTTTTCTTTCTTTTTTTTAAATCATTTTATTAGGGGCTCATACAACTCTTCTCACAATCCATACATACATCCATTGTGTAAAGCACATTTGTACATTCATTGCTCTCGTCGTTCTCAAAACATTTCCTCTCCACTTAAGCGCCCGGCATCAGGTCCTCATTTTTCCCCTCCCTCCCCTCTCCCCCCTT